CCCGGCCAAGATCAGCAGGCGGGCCAGCCAGGCCGGGTTATGCTGGCCGCCAAGGAAAAACCCGGGCGGGTTGTTGAGGTCCTGGTGTTCCAGGTGGGTCGACGCGTTCTGCAGCTGTCGTCTCGGTTTGACGGTTGGTAGACTGACATCCTTCGGCAACAGCTGGCGGGAGCACCATCTTGCAGGCTCGTCGTTCGCTCCCAAGTCCCGTTTTGGAAAAGCTCAGGCTGCTTTCACATCTTTGGATAGGATTTGGAAGACCACAGATATCTCATTTGGAACAAAGCTGAGGATTTTCAATTCAAATGTGAAGTCAGTCCTGTTGTAGGGATGTGAGACATGGAACGCATCACAGACTTGCGTAAAGAGGATCCAGGTTTTCGTGAACAAGTGTCTTAGAAAGTTACTGAGGATCAGATGGACAGACAGGGTCACCAACGAGGAATTGTTAAGGAAAACAAGGCAGATCCCAGTCAGAGATGAGGTAGGAAGAAAGTGGTGGCGATGGCTTGGACATACTCTCAGGAAGTCAGGCAGCTGCATAACAAAGAAAGTTTTGGATAGGAATCCAAAGGGTAAGAGATCAAGGGGAAGACGGCGTGGAACCTGGAAAAGAGTCCCAGAAGTTGATGTACTGAAAAGTGGGAAGACTTGGAATAACATCAAGAGGCTAGCCCAGGATAGAGAAAGACGGAAAATGTTTGTCCATGGCCTATACCCTGGTGCAAGGTGAGAATGGCAATGATGATGATGAATCTTGTATTAGATGTGGTATTATCAAGTACATATTTCAGTTAGTAATTGGATTTAGAATTGCTGTACTGTGTTTACAAAATAAAATGCAAGAAGTAATATATGTTTAATTAATTTTTTCCCAGGTCAATCAGTACATGATCTTGGTTGGTGGATCAAAACATGGTCATCTGTCACATGAAGTCTGGCTTTTCAATTTCGGTAAGAGTTAAATAAACTTGAAAGCCACAATCTTCTGACAACTTTTCAGACAAACTAGCTCAAAATTTAGAATTAAAAAAAAATTGCAGTTTCTTAATCTATGTAAATGTTGAAAAAAGCAAGATGCATAAATGTAGGTTGGCCTATAGTTTTTAAAAGAATGGAAGAGCTTTTCTCGTTCCTGAAAATTCTGCTGTCTGGGCTTAGAACATTTGAACAGCTTTCTGATGATATGAGGAAATCTGTTTTGTGTATGTTTTACCAGACGGTTTGGTCCACCCTGTCAACACCAATGTTTGCTTTCAAAAAGAATTTACAACTTTTCTTATGTCTTTACTGTGGTGCTTTGAGTTCTATACCCGCATCAATACTTTTTGAGTTCAGTTTTCATGTGTGGAAAGATGCCTTTGTGTAACCATTTTAGGGGAAGGACACTATGACAATATAATAGGAAAGAGAAAAAAAAACCTGTGAAAATGATAACGAGATACTTCACTTCACACTTTTCTACTGGCAATTGAAAGTCCAATGATATATTAAATTTATTTTTTCAAAACAACTGCTTTTTCTTAGATATAGTCTAATTAAAGAGTTTGTTATAGGTCTTAATTTTTGGCAATTTTGTAAGAAGTTGGCATTGTTTTGTTTGACAAAAGGTAAATGATGTTTGTACACCTGATCACTGAACAAGAAATAGTTTTATTGAATGATTGTAGTTTTAACTGAAACCTGATCATACTTTCAGTTGATGTAATAAAAGCGACAATGTTTGTGGTGCATCTTTCCAAAAAATGGATCCCTTGTCGGTACAAGTTTGATACAAGGACATTTGATGATTTATCACCTAACTGATAGAACATATGTGTGGCAGCATGGTGAAATCAGGCCCTCTTCAAAATAATGTAATCAAGGAAACCAGCATTTATCTGACAGTTGAGCAAATTTTTCCAAATATTATTTTTTTTGGCTCAATTCCTTTTATGTCCATTTAAGAACACATTTCTGTGTGGATTTACTGAAAAATGTTGATTAAAGGCATGAAAATGTAAATTTGCAGTTTTCAAGGACCCTCAAGCTTCGGAAGTTACCAAACTTTGGTTGCCATTTCCTTGCTAATTTTACCTCTGACATCAAGTGACCCCAACCTTTTTCTGTCGCAACTATCTTGACTCTTATTCAAGATATATGGGTTGTTGTTTTTTTGTCAAAAGCAAAACAAATGAACTAGCTTAAAGGTGATACTCATAACTCCATATGACCAATAATTGACGAGTGCCTGATTCCTCCAGGTTGTGACACATATGTAAATACTGACATTCCTTAAAGTATCGTCCTTTACAATTAATTCATTGGTGTGAATTATGATGATTGTTTGAAATTCAAGAACATACTGCTATCAGTTGGGTCTTTTTGACTCTGTTATCTCATCAAATTTCACCATTAACTCTATAACCCTGAGTGGGTGATGAAAGCATCTAGTGAAACTCACCAGGTCCCTGAGGGGACAGTCCCAGCATCCAGTCAGATTGCAGGGTGCAGGAAACATTATTGCTAATGCAATCTCTTTCAAATCAGAAAAGATTTTTTTTTTACTTGGAAGTGATGTATAAACTACTTCATCTTTCTCTTTGACACAGTTTTAGCCATTGTATGAATATTTTGCATGTATCCCCGTTACGTGTTTCACAAGATCTAGAAAAAATTATGTGAAAACATTGAAAATAATTCCGGGTTTAAAGAGTTAGGATAAAATATGTCGTGACCATAGAAGTCAAAGCTTTTAACAAACAAGTACTTTTTCATTAATTTCCTAGTTCTTTCGACAGATTGTCATAGTTGTGAGCATCTTTGTTCAGAACTATGATCACCATTTTACTCATCATTTTGAAGGATAAAATTTGGCTTGAAATTCATCAGACTCAAAAGCGTATCAGAGCTTATTATTCCATGACATTTTGCCTTCAGTGTGGCAACCAGCGCACTGAGTCTGTGAATACCGTCCTCAGCAAAAGAAAATCAGAGTGTCATTTATTTTTTATAATAATAATTTTCCTTTCGTAATTTATGCAAGGGACTCCTTTCTTTCTCTTCAGAAACTGGCTGCTGGCGCCAGGTCCTCACACCTGGTGGAGAGTTTTTTGCCCCGACATCGCTCCACACCTCAGTCCTTCTGAAAGCTCCTTCGCTGAATGAGGTCGTTGTTGACCGCACAATGTCTGTTCCTCAGCTTAAGGCCACACCCACGTCACTAGCCACACCGATCCGTCCCTGGACTAGTCCTGCGGTCAGTTCCTCAGGGGCCTCAGGAGTTCCTTCATCTTCATCTGATCATCACATAAACATTCTACGTCTTAGCAGCTCACAAGTAACTTCAGATAAAAACAACAATAGCCAGGAAAATCTTTGCAGCTCTGGGATTGATAGCCAAATCCCTTTTCATAGCTCAGATCAAATTAATTTTCAGACTGACTTGGATAACTCACAATGTTCTGGATTTGATCATAGTTTCATGGAAATGAAACAGACTACTCCTACCTCACAGCCTCACCCTGAGACTTTTGAACTCCAAAGTTTCAACTCTAAGCCTACTGGTCAGTCTCTGCGTATTCGACCAGCATCCTCAGAATTTTGTGGGACTGGTCTCCCTTTACTGGAAAGATTTCAATCTGTTAGTTCTGATGCTGACATCGGCTTGGATAACCCAACTTTGACTTTGTCAGATGAGCATTTGCCCATAGTCAAACAGACTTATTCTCTGCACATGGACAGTTTGAGTCCATGCTTTGAGGAAAACCAGTCTAATGTATCCCCTTCACATGGCATTAGTTCTGGTTCTGTGATATGGAGTCATCAAACTCAAAGTCATCCCGTGTCTGACTGTTGTGATACATCAGATATATTCCGCTCTTCAGGAATCTCATGTGCAAGAAACAATAACACCTTCAACAGGTCATCGTCCCAGGTGGAATATGACGATAAATTGAACAGAATGAATGAGACTGACTCTAGCTTTCCTGCAAATAGACTTTCAGATCGGTTTCCTCAGCTCCTATTTTCAGGATCCTCGCCACCTTCATGTGGAATAGAATCTGGCTTGTATGTAGCCAGGAAGTCCAGATATATACAAGATTTGTTTGTTGAAGACTTAGAGCAGATAGACAATGATTCACTAATTCAGAATGTGAGCATTGCATATCCGTCCAGTTCTGGTCAGAAATCAGCCTCTTTGAGAGACATTTGTAACTTTTCCAGTAATATTCGTGGAGGTGATAGCATGGAATCTTTCATTTATCAAAACGGTACACAGAAGAAAACAAATTTGTGTGTGAATGTTACTGCTAAACAAATGGGAAGCCTTGCAGTGAAATCACGATCATATTCTTCTGTTCATGATAATACAGAGAACTGGGATACAGCAACATCATCTTTTATGGGCAGCTCACAGAGGCATAATACCTCTGGTATAAAGGTGCCTTCAGTCAGAGGTAAATATGCCAAGCACATGGGAAATGCTGGAAGTAAAAATCATATCTCACATCGGCTAAAAAACTCTCCCAGAATCTTTGAGTCAGCAAAGACATCTGTGGCCACTCAGACTGGCTCACAGTCATCAGTCAACCAACTGCCATCTGCATGCATTGCTAGCAACGCACCACGATGTTATGATCACTTCATGGCTCTAGCTGCCGATGACAAAAGCCAAGGAGAAAAGTCCACAGGTTCGAGCAATAGTGAACACACTGAATCCACTTCCCAGTCATTACAGGACAAAAGTGCAGTTCTGGGGGGTTCTGAAGTGGCTTTATTGGTGATTGGAGGGCACAGAGATAACCATTGTTTTCACTCTGAGCCTTTGAAATTGTTGAAGTGCCACCTGTATTGATCAACTCTTCTTTCATTTGGCTGCACTGTAGCCTGCCCAAAATATTGTGTGGGGGGGGTTCTGTAACAATCAGCTCAGTTATAAGCACATGTCGATAAGCCAAAAAAAACCAATGTTTGCGGAGTCATTCTTGTTTACCACCATTTTACATCCTTTTGTCCGGTGATATGGACCTGTAAAATTGATAGGAAAAGTAACAGAACTCAATACAAATTTGTTGTTGAAGCATGTTTATACATAATACATCTATGCATAATATTGAATTCTATACTTTTCCTATATATCCTTATGTAATGACAAGGTGGTGTCGGGAGTCCAGTGGTTTGGCTGCCAAAATCTTAATCGTGAGATTTGTGGGTTCGAGGGTTTAAAGTTTAAAAGCTTAGTTCGTTTAAGTTTGTAAAGACAATGGTAAGTGTCCAGTTTTAAGAATTCTACAGCTTTTAGTTTATGGCTGATGTAAGAGAATGTTCCATTTATCCTATTATGTTAGAAAAGCTTTCAGTTTCAGTATACCTGATTCCTAGTAGTACATGCACAGGGCTCGTTGGTATTCTAAATTTGTTCTGGCTTTAGAGTAGAACGGTATCCATCACCATTTTGTAAAATAGAGGCTATATTGTGGTCTCCGCTCCATCTGCAGTGTGTGTACAGATTACTTGTGAACTTGGCATTTGTGCTGGTTGGGTGTTGGCACACACTGGTAATTCTAGTTGCAGGAACTGGTCCCTACAAATACCAATGTATAAAAATGGGTGGGGCCAGAAGGATGATAATCTTTTTCTCCCATTCACGTTCTCCTTTTCCTTACCTTCGGTCAGATTATGTAAGCCATTTGTGTGCCTACAACTTCCCTCTCCTCACATGTGTATCATACTGTAGAGTCATTTTTGGTAGATCTGATTTGATGTTCTTTAAACAAGAAATGTTCTACTGCTCATTCAGCCCTTCATGCTGATCTCACCTTGATTTGTGAAAATGTTGATGAACAAAAAAAATCTGCATAACTTATAGATCTATGTGGATTAACACTAAAACCTTAGAGTGATATTCACAAAACAGAGCATGTTGGAATATGCATGTAGATTGTAGATATTTGGTTTCCATATTAGCTGTTCAAATTAATTAATAATTCCAAGATGTAGCTTATATTCAGATAAAATCATATTATATATTTAAGCAACCAAATGAATTGTACATTGTACTCTCTTCTTCTTTGTCCACCACTATTTATTATACTATAAGTATAAGCAGTAATAAGATGCACAAGTTATTTTATTTGATATACATTCTGTAGAAAAGATGCCATAAGTCAGTACTGGATTACAATGTCTGTCTTTGCTAATTCAAGTAATTCATTCTACGAGGTCTGTGGTGCAGGAAGGGTGGGAAGTGAGCGTGGATTTAGGTTGTGAGTACTGAGTGCTTCAGTCGAAAAAAATGCATTTCTTGACCACAGTGAGATCATAACTAGCTGCTCAGGTATCGGTTACACTTTTACTTTACTTTTATCCATGCAGCTTTGAACTTACACTACACTAAACAGCAAATGCATACATTTGTTAAGAGTGGGTTAACCCACTGCGCCGGGGCACTTTTTTGGTGCTAAATCTAAAAATGACAAGCGCATCGCTAGCCTACTGAATAGGAGCGAGTCACACTGTTCTTCACTCATTTTACTCATAAGTTATAATATAGACTAATATACAAGTGAGAGATTTTTGTGATAATTTATGAAGATTGAAGAATACCAATTACCAGAATGACCGCCTCAAACCAAGGCCCTTTCCTGTCACAGGATCCGATGATGACTCTTCCCCACCATCATGCTGCTTCTCATCAGACTAATTATGAGCAGAAATTCTTTACAATTTCACTTGTCTTTGATCAAGAGATTGCAGTTAGACTATGTGTGGGCTGAAGTTTTACTTCTGAAAAGTGTATTTGATGAGCTGTGACATAGGCCACATACATATGCAAAATGTGTGTGAGAAGAGGGAAATGCTGTGAATGCTTCCTTTTTCTGTGTGATGAAGAATCTAGCCTCAAAGACTAATTGATACAAACTGCTGTGCAAAGTATGGGTGACATTGATTCACCTGTAAAAGGTACTTGAGGATAAGTTGTGTCATGAATTTTTAACCATTGTAATAATTGTTTTCCCATGGAAATGGATTTGTCAAACTTATATATAAGGTCTTATGAACAAACTTTTTCAGCTCAGCAGATTTGATTTTTAAAAGTAAAGAACAATTTTTTTGCCTCCCTCTATCTGCATGACTTGCATTTCCTTCAAAGAAAAAAGGTACTCGACTTTCAAAATTGTTTTATATCAGCTTTAACAAGATAGCTTTTCTGATTGAGGTTCGTGTAAGAGTTATATATTGTGTCATGTTTCACCTAACTGCATTGTAATGTGTCACGACGCAGTGGAATCAGGCGCACGTCAATTTTTGGGCATTTGGAGTTATTGGTATAATCTTAAAGGTAGTTTATTTGAATTGCTTTTGATGAAAAAAATATCTATTTATTTTTAATAGAGTCAAGATATCTGTGATTGAAAGAGGTGGGGTGGCCTGGTTTTAGAGGTAAAATTAACAGGCAAATGGCTGCCAAAGTTTGTGACTTCCTTAGCTTAAGAGCCCTTGGAAACTGCAAATTTAAATTTGTTGTGATTTTGAGCATCGTTTTTCCATAAAATGCAAAAAAAAAAGTGTTTTTGAATGGATGGATCGTTGAGCCAAAAAACACACAAAAAATTTTCAATTCCAAACTGGCTGAAAAATGCTGATTTCTCGGATTTCATTATTTTGACGAGCGCCTGATTTCACCACAATGCCACACATATAGTTTCAGCAATTGAGTAAAGTGAAATCTGACGGTATGTTTTGGTTAGTTAGCTCAAGATGAAATAGACAGCTGTTTTTATAAAACTTCAGCCAAGCCAGGTATTTTTTGTTGTTGTTGTTTTGAAAGATCAGCTTCTTTATATTTTATAAATTACACAACTGCTTGAAACTCAATTTTTGCTTATATTTGTAAAGTTATTATACAAAGAGCTATCTATTTTGTTTTTTGGTTTTTTTTACTTTCCATGACACTTTTCAGGTGTTATAGAGCTGGGGACTTTTTGTGTTCTTCAAATACTGTTGAATGTTCCTATTTATTTGGTGCCAAAGGCAGTACATCATGGCTGTATATATATATAGTTTTCTGTATGAAGAGACAAATCTTAAAATGGACACAAAAGAATTATGTCAATGGTAAATGATGTAAAGTTGACTAACATACTAACAACTCCCTGAAGCAGATGACACAGAGGACATAATGGTTCCTGGATTAGCTTAACCAGGAGGAAACTTTTATCCGACGGCTCTAATTTTCTGACGAGGCCCATTTTTACCTTAACTGCCATATGAATAGCAAATACTATGTCAGCCAAGTCCAACAGAGTTTACGAGAAAGGCCAGATTGATCAGAAGGTTACAGTCTGGGCACTATCTGGCCTTTTTTGTCAATGTAACTCAGCATAGTAAGAATGTGCCTTGCTCAAAATGGGATTCATGTGGAATAACTTGTAATTTTGTTTGTGGCTGTCTTATTTTGTAGTAATTACAGTCAAACCGCACTGTACTGCCTACCGGTACCTTGGGACTAGTCTGAAGTTGACAGCAGCGCTGCCAGTTTAACTGGATTGCTATCTCGATAACTGGTATGACTCAGTTGCCACCCTGACTAGTGGTAAACTGGTAAAGACTAGAGACAAACTGTGGCCAATCTTGACTTGTCTAGATCTGTCTTGCACAGGGGGGAAAATGAGTAGCAACCAATTACATTTACAGCTCCACTGAACTTTGTGTGTAAATTGAAAACTTAAGCTGGATCAGAAGCTAGGCTGTATATACACATGTATATTTGTGTATCAAGGAGCCATACAGTTTTTTTTGATTACCTGATGGGTTACTTGTCAGTTCGAGGGCCGCTTCAGACCTTGCACTTGCACATAGACTTGACATGTGAGTCCCCACCAAAAAAAAGCTTCACGGGCACCTGCCAGCCTTTTGGTCATCGGACTGATATCAGCTAGCAATGCCACATATTTTTCTGACAGGCCAAGGTGGCGCAGTTCCTTTGAAGTTTATTCAGGCGACTTTAAAATGTTATTCCAACCTTAAAAAAAAAAAGAAACAAATTAGCCAAACCCTAAAAATAATGGCATTTTCAAAGTCAGCACAAATCCTCGACAGATGCTAGAAATAGACCAGATTCGCAGAGATGTGTATCGGAAAAAAAAATTATCAAGCAGCCGATATGCACTTTGTGTAGTGTGTACCCCTGACGACCAATTTACTATGAAAATTTACATGAGTTATGTAAGGACCGTACAAGTACAACTCAAACAGGTTGCGGATGGCGATGTAAAGGCACAATCACATGTACTCTGTGTGTACAATCACATGAGACTAAAATTTGTTTTGTCTCTGCATGGCAGCATTCCAGGCTTTCCTTTTCGTACATTGGCAAAACCTGGAGGTAAGCAGGGCAGGTGGTATAACGGGGAGGGGTGACGAGGTTTGACGGTATATCGTGATGAATCCAGATTGATGTTCCACATTCCTGCAAACTTTGGTGTCAGTATCTTTACTCATAATGGTATTATTAGCAAAACATTTTGTCTGGTCACCCTGTAGATAACCCTTTTAGTACTTGGTACCGCTGTTTTGGAGGGTTTTTTTCTTATTTTTGCTCATTGGTATACAAACTACTTATCATTTCATTCAACATAATATAAGTTATGAAAAGTTTTGCTCTCAAATTGTTACATTGTACTTACATATTACATGGCAGAGCTAATTTGACTCAGTCACTTAGCTGTATATAAATTTATCTTACGGTCAGTCAACAAGTCTGTCATGGGTGAAGTTGTGATGTTTGTGAGATGTTAAAAGTTAAAATTATGAAAATTCTTATCAATTGCTCAGATCTCTAATTCAAGCAGACAATATCAGATCTATGAGATATCACCTGCTTAAAAGTATGAAGGCTTTACATAACAACACTGAACTAAACCTAGATGGATGAAAATCAAGTTTATCTTTGGAATATCATTTTAATCCATTTAGCATTTGACTGTTTTCCTTTTTCATGTTCTAATCAGTCTTCTAAAAAATGTTCCAGTTTGGAATTCCTTTGATTTATTTATGTTATAAGAGGATTGTGAAGATCTTACTAATTTATAGTTATAGTTACTTATAGATCATGTCACCCATGAAAAATTATGAAATAGTATCAGAGTAGCAAAAATAGTTTAGTGATTCTCTCAGTGATGGTTCTAATTACTCAGTGAGCTGAACAAAATGTTTTATTGAAATTGGTACGGTACTCATTTTCTTTGGGAAACAAATGTACAGTTCTAATCTAGTCATGGGCAGCATGTTATGATATAATGTTTAAAGTTTTGTAATGCTGTTTGATGTTTTTATAACTCCTTTTATTTTCTCTGCAAAGAAAAGAAGCAATGGTTTCTATATATGTCAATATGACTTTTAAAAGGCTTGTAGGATGATGTAGGATTTTGACGTCAAGTGGAATAAATCACGTAATTCTTATACATTGAACTTGACGTGACAAAGTCTCAATACAAATTGTAAAACTTTTATTTATTTCTGCATATTACCCAATTTTATATATCATTCGAATTCATAATTTGATATCTTCACGTCAATTTACACTCAGACAATTTTTTTTGTATGTGTCGCTAAAGGAAATGTTATGTTCTTCTGTATTTCTGTTTACCATGCTACATAGTTACTTTTTATATTGCTTTGAGACAGTAATATATGGTTTCATTAATCATTTTTGCAACTTTTTACAATCTATTTTGTTATACTTTGTTTCCTCTGGACCCATTTGCTATTCACACAATAAACACTATCTCTTTTTTTTTTCATTCATCCCTCTTAAGTTACAACAAAGTAACTTCTTTTAAACATTCAGTGCCCTCTTCAACAGCATGTTATTTCATTTTAGTATGCATGATATTCATATACTCTTTGATACTTTTTTTTTAACATGAAAATTCTGATCATTGGTAATATTTTAAATTTTAGAAAAAATATAGTTAAATTAATATATGGATGGACCATTTTCATGTTGAACATTGGAAATTTTGAAGTCAGATCTCATCATAGAGCAGTCATGATTGGTTATTTTTATGTTACTATTGACACTCCAGGAGTCTCCCTTGGTCTAGAGGTACGATTCGCCTCTCATTCAAAAGCGACGAAAAAATGTTCTTCTCTAAAAATTTCTCCTTTGGCCCCCTTTCCTGTTTTCTTCACTTGTCTTGTTCTGTTATTTGCTTTGTCTTGTTCTGTCATTTGCTTTCACCCCCTCTTTCTCCTCCCAACCCCACCTCCTCAGGGCTTGTTTCACCTTGATCCTTGACTTCTGACTCTTTCTACCTCCACTGTAGGCTCTTACTTCTGCTGTCTTTCAGCCATACCTCTGAGTCTGAGGGTAGGTAACATTTTGTTTTAAAGTAGCTTTAGTGGGGCAGCTAATTACAAAAATCGACCGAATCATTCACATCGTCATGCAAGCACCAGAATTGGCACACATATCCATTATGACATGCATATTCATAAATCGAACGTTTACCACGCAATTTTTTTTCAAAATGACCCCCATTTTTCAAGATGGCCGCCATTGCCGGTATGCGCAACTCTATACTATAATGTCGCACAGCATGAGGCAGTAGAGCAAATTATATGATTTTGGTGTCAAAATATATGTAATCAACCTTGAAGAATCCAAATTTGCATATATGCTTACACGATAATCACCACCTTAATGTTTTTTAAGTAACATATAATAATTGAAGTGATTTTAAACTTCTATGATAGATTTAAAGAAGGTGCCACTAACCACAGACACTCAAAGGATCGAGAGACTCCATTCCCCACCTACATTGGTCTGTCAGTGTTTGCAAAGACCAGGACGAAGAAGCTCGAACAGATGCTCCAGACAAATGGATTAAACGTATCCTATGATCGAGTGCTGGAGATTTCCGCCGAGCTGGGGGTAGGGGGGGATGCTGTTGTGTTTTAGTACATCAGAAATGGAGTCACCTGCCCCCTGGAGCTGCGAAGAGGACTGTTCACCACTTCGGCCACAGACAACATAGACCACAATCCATCTGCTAAAACATCAACGACATCTTTCCATGGTACAAGTTTATCACTGTTCCAGCACCTCGCCTCTGAGAATGAG